AGGCAAATAGGTGGTAAATTGCACTTGAACGTATACACATCATATTTTGAGCAAATCGATGAACATACTAACAATCTAATTAGATTCGAGTTTTTATAAATCGATTACTTTTGACCTAAAACAGAAAAAAAAACATTTTTAAGAATTTAACGTTCTCAAAAGTGAGGGCAAAAATTGCTTCGGTAAAAAAGTGAATAACTCATATTTCGTAAATGATATCATTTCGTATTCATTGCAATATCATATATCTCACGTATCTCAAATATCATCTTATATTCATTGCATTAATTTCCAAATATTTACTTTTAATAGAATCTCAAATATTCGATTGCACGTGTTGGTTTCTTGTGCAGTTAATTCGCAACCAATGTCTTCTGATGGATTCTCCATCATAATAAGTCCATTTTCGATATCCTCTGTTTAAGATCCGATAACATTGACTGTGTTTTTCTTAAATCTGCTGCTTCAAGAACTTTAAGGTGAATTCTATCTACTTTTTCTTCAATTAGGAAATTACTAAATGGCTCTTCCTCCCGATATCCGATATTAAATCTTTTTCCATTCTGAATCATTCAATCATTATGGCATAAGCGATGTATGGTAGATCAAGCCATGCTTGTTCGATAATACGATCAACTAGCTGTGCATTATCAGGAACAATAAAAATACTTATTTTTTTGCCTTTTACTGTATAGACTTCAATATCAGCTTCAATTTTTCCAATAGTGGTCACTGCAAGTATGTTTTGATTTCCAAAATCGTATAATTCATTGACAGCAGGTTCAAGTTTCAGTTCAAGTTTCTGAGCAATTGACATAGAAAGAAGACAACAAGAACTGCTGGTATTAATTAAAGCCTGTATTACGTCACAATTATTAAGTTTTGTCTTTTTCAAGAATGAAGTACGCTCTTCGGTATTTTCGCCTTGTGTAACAAGTAAACTTTTATCGCTTGAACAACTATCTTCAGCCTCTAGAAAAATTTCTTTTGGCTATGTAGCTGGTTTTATTGTATTTTCGAAATGCTATAACTGGTTTTGGCAAAGGGTAGTCCTTAGAAATATGTCCAAAATTGCTGAAGTTGAAACATTTTGGTTCACCTCTTTTACTGTAGGGTGTAATACGGTACATTTTTTCTTTTCGTTGTGCGTAGCAATTGCTTCATCTTTAATGGAGTTTGTCTAAAATCTCTTTCTTACGCGATTGTTTATTCTTAAAATTTGATCTCTAAGTGTTATAATCACCCAGTTTCTCTACTAAATTTTGGATGAATCAACCTAGACCAATCATCAATAAAATGGTCTTTTACTTAGTGAAACACTTTAAGTTTAATCAGATCCGCTATAATAAGATCTCTCAACTTTTCAAAACTATCTTCTTCAACTCCATTAATCCATTCGTTAAAAAAATATTTTTACTCGTAAGCAAAAATTTGTTCCTACATTCTCATTTTGCATGAAATATTTTTGGCGAAACTTTTCAGGCGTTAATTTATAATTTAAATTCCATTTCAATTTTCTTTACCTCGTCTTGTCTTTCGCGTTTTTCACTTTCTTCTTGGTGCTTACGTTTTTCAATTTCTTCGTGACGTTTTACGTTCTTCAATTTCTTCTTGGCGTTTAGATTCTTCAATTTTTCTTGACGTCTACGTTCTTCAAATTCTTCTCTTTTTCTTCTTTCATTTATTATAGTTTTCAACCATTCTTTAACACAATCTTCATTATGCTCTTTGCTCGCCAAAATTATCCTTTTTAAATACAAAAATAACATTGACTCTGTTTTTCTTAAATCTGTTGCTTCAAGAACTTTAAGGCGAATTCATTTTGTACTCATAAGGAATTTCCTTACGATGTAAAAGGTTTTAAATAAATACCATTTGTGATTTTGTTACCTTCTTATGTAGTTAAATTAACATTAATTAATCTTTTATAGAATACAAAACAAATACTTATTGATAATATAAGCGTACTCGTAACTTACTACATTCACGTTCATTTCGTATGGACGTTCTTTTCTATCCTTTTATATTATTTTATATTATATTCGAATTCTTTCATATTACAAAACAAAAACAAAACCTCCGTCACCATTCCTAATTTACAACATATATGCTCTTAGGCAATTTTAATTATTAAATTTTAATTTTAAAGATAGATTTAACCGATTTCCATATAATGAGTAAGACTTACTTTTTGCTTATTCACCTATGAATGAAGTTATAAAAATTATGTCTTTGAGTATATTTATGTTTAGATGCCTACTGATACATCAAAAATAACATAATCATTTACATTTTAACTGGATAATATATCAAATGGCATTTTTTATTTTTATGCAACTACAAATATGCATTAACTTAATTATCTTTATGACGGAAAAAAGACATAAATGTCATGCATTAAGAACGCATAATTTAATCAAACAAGGCTATCTTGAGTAGTTATCTTGTAAAAAATTAAATGAACCTATATTATCCAGTTTTACGACTAAGCATTAAGAAGAAAATATCAGCATGAATCTGTCAGAGTTACTTTATTGCCATTTGTTAGGAGAAAAAAATATAACTAGAGAACATGACGGAAATTTCAACTAGATGAAAATATCTTAGAAGTAATCAGATTGCGATATACATAGTAAATATTATTGATTAATTCTCACGGTGAATTAAGGAAACCAGGTTCTAATAGTTAATTTATTTAATCAGGAGTTTTTCTAATTAGTAAACGTGAGGATAATACACAAAAAATAAGTTACCGTAGGAAGTGAGCTTTATTATAAATTTTAATTTAAATCGATTAAAACAAATAATTAATAGGTTCGGATAGTGAATTACGTGATAAAAAATCAAATCTCTAATAACCAATTTTATGGTTGTATTTTATATAATAAAAATATTTAAAAAAATATGTTAAAATGTTACAGTTTATATATGTTTCGTTTTTTTTCCTTCTCGTTCCTATTTTTAAATAATTATCTTTTGAATGGTAGTAATTTTAGTTTAGTAACTGAATCACTTGTTTTTTACGAATAATTTATTATATAAGTTTTTAAATTTTTAGGTGTTTTTAAAATTTATTATTTTTTTTTTGTTAAACATAAAATGTTCTTTAAATCTGCTGTTTTTTGAAAATTGCAAAAAAATTGTTTCTCAGAAATTAATAAATTAAATTAATAATTTAAATATCAAAGAAAATTATTACTAGAACAGCACAGATATAAGATGATACAGGTAGTGAAAAGACTCAGATATAAATAATTAAAAAATGTATATCTACGTAATGCAGATGTACAAATTACATTAAGTAAATGTGCAAATGTAAGTGTGTATATCTTTTATTTTTCTAATTTTGAATAATTAGCTTTTAGATAATAGTAATCATAGCTGAGTATTATCTGTATTAACTAAATATTATCTTAAATTCAAATAAATTTCTGACACCTAAGAAACATATAAAAGATGATACAGCTAGTATAAATACTTATATAAATATTTAAATATGTACATCTCTGAAAATGTATAACTTACAACACGTTAATGTACAAGTGTACGTTGCTACATATTTAATTTCTTTTTTTATTTTTGAATAATTATCGTTTACATGGCAGTAATCTTAGCTAAATATTAACTGAATAACTTGTTTTTTAAACGTAATTTATTATTAGTTTTCAGACTTTTACTTGCTTTTTTTCAAAATTAATTCTTTCTAATTTAAAATAAAATATTTTTTCCCTTTAAGTCTGATGCAGTGTTTTTGAAAATTACAAGAAAATGTTTATCTTAAATTTCAGATTACAACATCTGAATAAATTTTTGATACCAAGGAAAGTTATCGATTGAGCAACATAGATATAAGCTGATACATATAGTATAAATACTTAGAGAAAAATATTTAAAAATGTACACCTGTATACGTAAATGTACAAATGTAAATGTGTAAGATTTCTTTATTTATTTTCGAAAAATTATTATGTAGATGGCAGTCATTTTAGCTAAATATTAAATGAACCACTTACTTTTTATGCATAATTTATTATTAGTTTTCAAACTTTTTTTAAAAAATTATTCCTTTTTCGCTTTAAAATAAAATGCTTTTTCTCTTTAAAACTGATGCTGTGTTTTTTGAAAAAAAAATTACAAGAAAATGTTTATTTTCAATTTCAGACTAAACCATTTGAATAAACTTCTAATACCAAAGAAAGTTATCGACAGAGCAACATAGGTATAAGATGATACAGATAGTATTAAAACACATACATTAATACTTTGATATAAATACCGTGTCCTGGAGGCATTTTTTTCCGGACTGCATAGGTAATGATTTTGGTAAAGTTACCAATAAGGAACGATTAAATAGTATGTGATAAAAAAAATTTAAATATGGTATAATTTCTTAATTTTATCATGATGACTTAAAACATGGCATGAAAGTTATTTATTCGGTTAAATTCACTTTGCAGTTTTGTAATTTTTACGGAAAGAGTGGTTAGAAAACTATAATTTTGAAAACCTGTATTTCCGGTAAGCCGTTACCATATGAACGGGAATATTACAAAATGAATGGTTTAAATACCGTATATTTTGGTTTCATTAAACAGAATTGTGATATTTTTTTTTACCTGAAATATAATAACCTTACAGTAGGGTAATTTCACTCGAATTTTGTTCTCCGTGTAGTAAGTTTTAAATTTCCAAATGATAGATTGAAAAAAAGTTTGTAAAAGAAGATATAGATTCCAAATGAGAAAATAAGGAGACTTCAGTTCAATTGTGCAGCACAGAGAGTTAATTTGCTAGAATGAAATTTTTACATATTTTAATCTTAAATTTTTAACTATATATTTTGTTAATGAATAACGACCGTGATATATCCCATTTAGATCGCCTTTTTTTCCTGCTGTGTGCTGTGTTTTTTTTTTCTTTATCCACGCATGTATTTTCTCACAATTTTTCTGTTTTTAATAAACTTGATTAAATACTTTTCGAAAACAAATATTACTTACCTCAACTGTTTCTGGTTTGTAAAACAATACAACTGGCTTGAGTCCAAACCAAAACCTTAGAAGCCTTTCCTTATCATAAATATGTGCAACACCACACAAAAATTGAAAAGAAACTGAAACAGAGAGAAAAAATAACTGATCAGAAAATGGTTGGAAATAAAATAAATTATAGTATTTTTTTTTCATGAAAAATTGTATTTTGCATTTATTGCATTTTGCATTTATTTATTATTGGTTAGGAAAAAGAACTGTTTCTGGCAAGCGCCGATATTCTGCCAGTGCACTGTTAGACATTCCTCTGAAAAAATGATTAAATAACAATTTATTTAATTGTTATTTCGCCATATTTAAACAAAACCATCAAATAACCATAAATAAAGGGGTATTCAAACTATTAACTGTGAGAAAAATGGTTGTTTACTGCTTTCGCCTAATACAGTTAATCAACCAAGATCTTATCGCACCAACAAGACCCACATTCCAGCTCTCTACAATGCCCATTACCTAAGAAAAAGCCGATCTTCTATGTCCAATTTAATTTCTTTTTTATTGTTTTGAAGCCATGCTAGTTGTAAATGGTTAAAAAACCAAATCGTTCTGTATCCATGGTTTTATAACCATTCCAGTTACAAACGATTTCAAAACCATAACGGTAAAAAAGGGTTTTTACCGCAAACTTTATGGCTAATCAGATAGAAAGGCTGGTGTGGATACTTTATCATAATTTTAGAATGAAAATTCTCACAGTGTATTGACATAGTCTCTGATAAATGCCAGGAATATATATCCATATTTTTCTCACTTAAATACCGACACTAAGCATGTATTCATGAGAAAAAACAATTTTTGCATCTAACCAAAAATAGAACTTTAAAAATGTTATTTTAGCACTGAAAGGTAATGTAAGAAAAAAGTTTAAATAACAGCACAGGAAAATATGTTTTTTAACATAAATGGTTTGTTAAATAAAAGAGAAAAGAAAATCAGCTTCAAGAATGTGCATAGCTTTAAAACATTAATTTAGTTGGATTATTTTTTTATTGACTATTTTTTAAAAAGCTTATTCTTACTAAATCAATTCATAAGCACGAAAATAATTATATAAAGACATGAATTAGAACAATTTGAAAATCCTAGTGTCATCTTTTAAATTTCTAATGCCATAAAAGTCATTTTTTATTTCGTTTTTTTTTTAAAAAATCAATTGCATTTCTTTAATTAGCAATGAATCGTACTGGCTTAATAAATATGTTATTAAATTGAGCCACGGTGGCTCCGAGGATGGAACGTTCGCCACCCGAAGAGTTGATCCCAGGTTCGAATCCCAGCTGCGGCTGATTGATACGAATTCGATAAGGCTCGCATTGACCACAGTGCTGACGTAAAATTTCTTCGGTGATTTATGGATCATGGTTCAAAATCTCCTTGCGGTTGGGTTAACTGCTGAAGGGTTTTGTGGTATTTTTCTTTTTATGAAAACCAAATGCAGGTTAGTTCCACCAAAAAGTCCTTCACAAAGTTTAGTTTGTCCCAATGCTTGATTCAGGAGCTCCTTTGTCTTCTGGACTAGGAACAAAATTACAAGGTTACGAATTTAAAATTAGTCGTAAACTCAATATTGACCTCGCTGTTCAACGCTGGTTACAATAATATTGTCTAAGTTACATAAATAAAAATTCATTACAAGAAAGTTGGATTTTTTTTATCATAACTAACCTCTATGTCTAAATACCAATAAAGATACTTATTTAAAGCATCAAAATAGCTGCACGTCTGTACAGATTTTTGATTTTAATTTCCAGTGATAAAAAAAGAAATATCATTGAACACTGATATAATTAATGTATCATAAAAGTGAAATTAAAATAACATAAACTAAATTAAAATTAAATTATTAAAATTAAATTATTAAAATTAAATTATTAAAATTAAATAATTAAAATTAAATTATTAAAATTAAATTATTAAAATTAAAATTCAATAATTAAAATTAAATTATTAAAATTATAATTCAATATGTAAAATTAAATTATTAAAATTAAAATTCAATAATTAAAATTTAATTATTAAAATTAAATTATTAAAATTAAAATTCAATAATTAAAATTGAATAAGTTAAAATAACATAACATATAATTGAAACATTTGCTTTATTGAATATAATACGAGCAAACAAACAAAAAATTCCACATATAAAATACATGACTGAATAAATATCTATATCAAGTATAACCTTTAACACTTCATATAGAGAGAGTCATATTCATTTTCAGACACGCCCTTTTACGAGGAGCAATTACCTACTGCTCGCAGGTAACCTTTACCCTTGATTTGTCTTTATTTGCCCTTTGCTTTGTTTGCTCTTTTTAATCTTAACAAAAGCAAGATAAAATTGAAAAATGATGAAGCTCTTGAGCTACTCTTTTGACACAAATTTTACAATTACAATTCAAGAGAGAGATGAAATCACTTATGTTAATTTACTCGACGCCTGCTTAATACAAATAAACAGTTGCTAAGAGAAATATTTTTTTTACCCTACATGTTGCCCGGCAGGTGGCACGTGTGTGTTAAATCTCCAATAACGTAAGAAAAGCATTGAATTCATTTTCATGCTGGTTTTTATAAATTGCTCGAATTTATTAAACTATGGACAGTGAGTGGTGTTTCAAAAAACAGGAGTGTATCTTGCTCACAAAGCTTGTAACTTAAGTATGAAACTACCTTTAATTTATGCATTTAACATCGACTTCTTATTTTTTGCACATTCTGAAATTTTGCAGGGTGTAAAATAAAGATTTAAAATACTTTTAAGTAATGTGAATTTTTCTTGCTGTTTTAATAAGCAATTTAAAATTAATGTGCGTGTTAAAGGAAACCATATTTTCAACATCGTTTGTTAGATATCACGCACTAAACATCGTGCAATCTCTCAAGAACTGAAAAAAATAACACTGACAAAGAATAATGAGGCGGAATTTGTAAGTGCATTAGGTAAAAACCTTTGAGCGATTTTAGAAACCTGTAATTAAATTTAGATTAATTAAATATCCATTATTTAAATGCTTCCGTTACTTCCATGAAATTATTTAATTAAGAATGCTTGTGAAGAAATAAAAGTAAAATTAAAAAATGTATTTTCTAATAACAATATATTGAATGGGGAATGAAAATAATAATACAATTTATGAAAAAATGCATCAGTATTTCGCATGAAATAAAAAAAAGTAGTAGATAAATATGTTTCGCTGATAATCACTCCCGAGATTTATTTTCGCCGTTTTTCCTTTTTATTTCACCGAAAATCATACTTCAGCATTCTAAAATCAAATTATTAAATAGACTTGATGGCTCTCCAGACCTGTTACTTCAACTTTCTGACATAAAACCCAATTTTAAGACTTGTACTGATAAAACGATTAAAAATAATTCATATTTCATACATTCATTAAATATTTTCAAAATAATTCTTTGATTAATCTATTCACAATTGCTAATGAAGCTTATTTACTAAGTCTTGGGTTCCGTCAAAAGAAGATTAATCATTTAAAGTTACATGGACCAAAATAATTGGGAACCGTGAAACCAGTGGTCCATGAAAGAATTGCTTACGTCCGCGTAAGAAGCGTTTACGAATGAGGAATTTTAGCAAAAAGTCACACTGATTAAACATTATTCTTTTTATTGTTATATTATTAAGACGGGATAGCCTGGTTGAGAGGGAGTTGGTTCCATGTCCAAGAGGACGTGAGTTCGATCTCCGCCTGCCGAAGACTTCCAATGCAGTAAATGGCGACTGATGCACTTTAAATTTGTCGGCTCACTAAGTCTTCCATGTTCCCATAACAAATTATATCTCTGGGGTACTGAGAGAATGATCGTTCTCTGATTTAGGTCAAAATTGCGATTTGTGGATGAATAAATGGATATATGAGTGGGTTCGCCCTATAAACGGGCTGTGACGAATGTTTGGCTGGGGTCTTATTCTTAGCCATAGATGGCGCCACAAAACACAAGAAGCGCACCATGTGCCTTAAATTTTTCTTGATTTCACCAAGCAGGCTTGGTAAGTGACATTAAAAACAACAACAACATTATAATTATTCAGTAAACTTTAATTAAACTATTATCAATATATGACTTTTTTATCTCATCATAGGCCGTTAATTAAAAATTCCATTCAAGATATATAGTGTTTATTTTAGAATTTGCCACTTAGAATAATCTTTGAATTAGTACTAAAAATAACTTAATTTTGATTTAGAGGAAAATTAAAAAAAAAAAAAAACTATTTTAATTAGTTGAGAATAAATATGAGTTGGTTTGCCTTGCTATGTAACTATTTTCTGCTTGTCAATGCTTGAGAAACAAAACATTGACAATTACTGTCTGTTAGCTTTTCATGCGAGGTAAAAGGTGTTGGTTTTAATAGATAATGCTCTCACTTGTCAGGAAATTTAAATACAATGTATTCAGTTATTCGAAACTAATTTTATTGTCAGATTCTAAGGTTTCAAAAATTATTAGGCAATAATTGTTTTTAAATTTTATTATTTAATTTTATTTCAATCATTTGTAGAAAAGTCCCTTTTAATTAATTTATTTTGTGGTATTGCTTTTATGATGTTTTGTCACTTTTATCTTTGCTGCACTGCTATAATTACTTTAAAGTTTTAGTTTCTCTTTCATAAGTTTTCACCTGCCCTTTTCTGCCCTTAAATAATTCAGCCAAAAATAAAAATAAAAGAAATTGCAAGTATAGCCCTACTTATTTTGTGATGGTGGTAACAGCCAATAAGAGTTGAGTAGGCTTTGGGGGCTTGGTTAGAGGAGGTGAGAGAAAAGGCAGGGGCACACATGGTTTTAGAGAGCTGAGGTCAAGATACAAAAAGATGAGGATCCTCAACAGCTAAGTTATATTATAAAATTTTCTATCACCCCCATAATTATTTTTTTATATTTTTTATTAATTAGCAGTGCAGCTTCATATTGTATAATTTCATGTTAAATTTTTAGGTATTATTAATTGGAGTGAATGCTTTCCTGGAACAAAATTTGTAACTTTATTTGTACTCCCTTATTTGTATTCCCTTAACAAAATTTGTAACAATAATTTTAACACCTTGCAAATAGTGATCATTCTAATGATCTTGTTCTCTTACTTAAGAGAATATTATTTTTAATTGTTATTTCATTTTTATTCTTATCTTAAATGTGTGTGGTGATGAACTGAACATCACCACAATTTTAACTATACAACTATAAATGAGCAGAACATTTAGTCCAATTCCAAAAACTTTTCGCACTGCTTTAACTTCGTGATGTTCGGTAAAAAAATTTTGAAGTACTTTTAAAGTAACCCCGAAAAATTTGCACAGTTTTTAAATATAGTTAAGCTATTATTTATTGCAGAACAAATCAGTACATTTTTTCAACAGATTAATACTCATGACAAGTTAGACATTTTCACATTTCTCCTTATAAAATATTTAAAGAAAATA